GGGACCTCCGAGTTTAACGTCCTTCTCCGAAAGGACCGAGCCAAGTGGGAAATTCGTGTAAAGTATCTTTCACACAGACACAACGTCGAATCGAGCTCAGGCTCGAACCCCCGACCCCCCAACCTCACGGTTACGAGTCCGGTAGGCTGACCACTAGACCACAAACACTACCAAGGTCAGAATATTTGGCGCGCTTTCAAACAACTCAAATATACGAGAGGATAAGACATTGAAAAAAACAAGATCACTGTAAACCTAGTTAATTGATCAGCTTGCAGAAAGGGGGAACGTATTATAACTGTATTATGCAACAAAAACAAAACAAAAGCATAAACAAAAACATAACAAAAACATAACAAAAAGATGAAAATGTATCTTTAAAAAAACGGACAACTTTCCGACCTGCTCTTCCTCGAAAGATTTTCCAGCGGTCGTTGACCCTACTTAAACCTTTCCTCTGATCCGAGTCACCTGAATGTCTCGTGGGTCTGTGGTGACAGTTGTGTGTGTGTGTGGGTGGGTGTATGTGTGTGTGTGTGTGTGTGTGTGTGTGTGTGTGTGTGTGTGTGCGTGCACGTTGCTTTTACAGCTGTTGAACCCATACTCCTCGCAATGGTTTGCCAACACCACCCCCGGCGGGCCGCGCGCGGGAGAGCGTAGTGCAGAAAATGGGATGAAAATACAGGAATTGATGGGCTTTGCTCCGAGATATCTCCCGTGTTTTTAAAGCAAACACCCTCTTGCGTTAACATTTAGACACGTGGAAGAATGATCATGTGCTCATTCAAATCCAGCCGGGCTGGAGTACTACGGGCCTTCGAGACGAAGTATTTTTCCTGCTATAATTGCATTAGTATCTCTGTAAATGTATCACACCTCTAAAACATACGTCGTGTCGCTTGGGATTACGAGCGAAGAATCCACAGGGAGCGCAGCGAAGTACGCACACCGATATTAATGTTTTATACGTCTTGAGATTACAACCATCATGCCGTTTCGTTTCTTTTTTAAAATTTATTCATTTCTTTTTGTACGCATTTTTTGTGGAGGCTGAACGAAGGCGGAATAAAAGGTTGAGAGAGTAAGTTTTGAATCGAATTGATGAATCTTCCTGACAGACATCAATGTAAGAAATGCAGTAAATGTGCAACGGAGCGGAGTGTTGCGAGGGGGGAAATGGAGATGCTAGAATAGATTAAAGTGACTAGTTTTGTGTGCGAATTAATTTTGCTTCTAAGTGTGCTCGCACAAGGCTGTCTGTCTGTGGATGGGTGGGTGGTTGGTGAGCGCTCTGGTGTGGTTTGCTCCTTCTTTCCTATCAAACATCATTCTGTCGTCCTTATCTCTACTTTTTCTTATTTTCTTTGTGTCATTGTGCTTCCTATACTCAGATCATCGCAGCGCCACTAGTGCCGGTAGGTCCTACTTCTTTTCTTTGCCCTCTTTTGTTTCTGTCCGTCTGCCCTACTTTTGCCCAGCACTAAATGACCATTGTTTTGTCCATGTGCTTCTTTTTTACTAAAATAGTGTGTGGTTGGCGGGTGCTCTGATGTGGTTTGCTTCTTCTTTACTGTCAAGCATCTATCGTCCTTAACTCCTCTTGTCAGGCGCGGTTCGTCCATAGAGCACGGTCGTGCAGTGCCGCCCAAAATGTTTTAATGTTCTATGACGTAAAGCACCCACTATAATAAAATAAAAGACGCCAGAAACTAACACTAGCCAAATATTATATCAAAGCAAGGCCTTCGCTGGCGCCGTACCTGTCATTTTTATTCTATAGCGCCGTAAAACATCTACTATGCCATGCCTAAGTTCATGCGCTGTATCTAAACATAACAGTATAGTCAACAGTGGAAACCTGACCTATAAATCGCTCTTTGGGATAACCCAAGCGATGACGAGACTTGTAGAAAGTTTGACGGTACATTAATATTAATAAGACGGCACATCTCAAATGTGCTCCTGCGGAATAGCGCCGAAACATAGCCCACAGTAAGTAGGCAATCTTATAATAAATGCCATAGATTGTGCACTATTCCATGCCAAAATTATGTGGGCCCCGGAGCAATCCAGCGGAGTGCTCAA